TATGTAGAAGCTAAAAATGTTGATCTCGTAGAAAGTAGAATAGTTGTTACCAGAGGCTGGAAGGATAGAGAGGAGGGGAATATATGGAAGGATTGGTTAATGGGTACAAAATTACAGGTAGATGGGAGGAATAAGATCAAGTGTTCTATACCACTGTAGGGTGACCATAGTTAATGAGAATTTGTTGTATATTCAAAGAGCTAGAAGAAAGAATTTTAACTGGCCTTACGCAAAGAAATAATAAATGTTTGAGATAATGGGTATATTGGAAAAAAAGAGAATATTAATTTCAAAAGGTGATAGCCATATTTTGGGCTAATGTTTGGAAATATTATTTTTTACAAAAGAGTACTTCTAGAGATAATTACATATTTATTCTTTCATTTCTAATTGGCAGAGGTGGATAAAATGTTCTTATAAGTGACATTTATAGATAACAATATGAACTTTGCAAAGTTAGTACTTCTTTGGAAAGTTAAAGCTTTAAAAATCTTGTATTTAAAACTATTGTTCTCTTGTAAAGAACTCATGACAAGGGGCTGGGAATGTGGCTCAGGCGGTAGGGTGCTTGCCTGGCACGCGTGCGGCCCGGGTTCGATCCTCAGCACCACATACGAACAAAGATGTTGTGTCCGCCGAGAACTAAAAAATAAATATTAAAAAATAAATAAATAAAAAATAAATAAATAAAAAAAAGAGAATTTCAGTGAATAAAGAAGCTAAAATATAATCTGAAAAAAAAAAAAGAACTCATGACAAGGCGGGATAATAGAGGATAGGAAAGGTAGCAGAATACAACAGTCACTAATATGGCAGTATGTAAAAATGTGGATGTGTAACCGATGCGATTCTGCAATCTGTATTTGGGGTAAAAATGGGAGTTCATAACCCACTTGATTCTAATGTATGAAATATGATATGTCAAGAGCTTTGTAATGTTGTGAACAACCAATAATAATAATAAAAAAAGAACTCATGACAAGAGATTCTGAGAAAAATATGGTTTCATTTTAGAGGTTCTAAAATCTTGGAGTTTTGGGCCCCAAATTTGCCCTTCATTATTATGATTAAAAATGTTTTTCTCAATTAAATTCATGTTACATTAATTTAGCTTCTCTAAAACATTAATGGACATTTAGAAACTGATCTCTAAAGCTTTATTAACATTTTGAATTTTAACATTTTCTATCTAGAGCATGAAGATATAATGGTGGACACTTAACATTAAAACTTGGCTTCATAGTAACAATCAGATCACATGTTTTATGATGCAAAAATTAAGCTAAGTATCCTAAGATGGGCATTTCTCATTTTGGTCAATTCTCGTGTAGATCATTAACTGATGACTTTGATTGCTTATTTGAATTTGTGTGTAATAGTAGATGTGTTTTAAGGTTTTTATACCAATGTTGCCAAGTTCTATGGGGGAAGATCTAGTCCTACCTTGGTTTGTATAGGATCCTACACACAAGTTCCTTGTTACTTGTGCCAACTCTTTGTTTTTAACAAATATGTCTTGAATTTTGGATTAGGCAGAGACATTTTAGCAATTTTATGATAAGTTTGATTGAAGTGGATACTAATTGTTGATTTAAAAAAAAAAGTCTCTTGAACTTAAACACTATTTAACCAGCAAAGATGGAGGGGAGGCTAGGGTGCCAAAGGTGCATTGTTCAGTCGCATTATTTTCAGAACTAGAAATGTGTACCTTCGTCAGAAATGGATGCCTTCACCTAGAAGGAATTTAGATTTCTTCTTGCTTGGCAAGGTCTAAATCTAGCAATAGAACACTTTTAAAAACGTGTCAAGTGTATATTGGAAACAGATGGCCATTCAACACCTACCTAAAATGCTCTGTGAGATAGAAATGCAGATAACTGGACTGACTTAAAGGATCAAGCTTTAAATATCAGGATTCATTTTCAGGGAACACAAATCAAATAATTAGAAGAATAATGAGTTCTAATTGTTTCTCTCATGATAGAGGTGGTGGTGTTCCCTTATTTCTGCCTCATGATTTTTGTTTTCAAATCCGTGCATGCATTCTTTGTTTCCTTTTTGCAAGGGGATATGTGGGTGTTTGTGCTAGAATCGCTGTCTATCACAGGATTTTTAGTGTTTTGTGTGACATACTTCATCTTTAGAATTTCGGGTGGGTCTAGATTTAGAAACGTGTTTTGGTTGGAAGGATGAGGCTCTGGATCTCAGCAGGCTTCAGGGTTGGAAGGATTGAAACTTGCAGAGAGAACAAATAAACATGGTCATCAAAGCTGGGAATTAATATCTGTTTGTTCACCTGCACATTTGAATTAAATCTTACAGCAATAGACAGAGCCATTAGATTTATTAAGATCCCGAAAAAATCGTTGTGTTGAAATGTCAATCTTCCCTGTGTTTTCCACAGATTCACATAGTTACTATGTGGTAGAGGAGGCTCTTGTTGAATTGCTACTAAATCTATTAAGAGGGGGCCACAGAGTTGATGATGGACAATGGTAATTAAACTGAAAAGTAATTGAGACGTGGGACAAGAAGATTCAAAGTGCAAAGATCACTTGTGCTCTTGACCCTCAGCAGTGAGTGGTATAACAAATGACTGAGGATTGGAGGAGGCCAAGAGAGAGCACTTAGGGTGGGTGTGGCTCTCATCAATGTACTTTAAGAGACCTCCTTGTGTAGAGGGTTATAAAGATACCTGAGATATGGACTCGGGTAAGTGTTCTCTAATTCATTTTCATTGTTTAAGTCTGTCAAGGTTCAAGTACATAAAGCAATGCTTTTAATGGTTTTAAGAATACCTTTTTAAAAATAAATGTAGGGCACAATTTGTTGACTCTGAAATCCTTGTGGTCAGGATGAAAGTTGATGTCTGATACATAAATACAAAACAAAAAAGCCTTTAATTTGTGTTGATTCCTTTGGTTCTGTAATTGTCTTTGCTCTATACTTCTTAGTATGGAGCGTGATTTATGGTGATACAGGGTTCTTGGCTTAACCTTTAAACTAAAAGTAAGTATAGCTTCATCTTAGTTTGTGATGACTGTGGGCCACAGAACCTTCTCCTTAAACCATTCTGCTCTGTATGTAAACCTTTCAAGTTCTCTTCTCACTTCAAAGCTAGGTCTGGGATTTGAATAACCTTGATGCTGCTTTTTTTCAAATCTGTAATTATGTTTAAGAGTAAGAGGTAAGCAGCGACTCCTCACACATGTTGCAGAGGGCTCTGTAGTGTGGCTTTGATGTAGCTCTAGCCTGCAACTGACTTTGCTGTAGTTTCCCAACTGCTCACATTAAAGGGACATCTCTTTCATAAAATAGTCATATTGCTTTCCTAAATACCATGCCATAGGATCTTTGTGCCTTTGTTCCTCAGAACATTCCAGTTTCTGTACCCTACCAACCCCTCCAATTTTTCCATTTCTTGAAACTTGAAATCCCAGTTTTGGGAAATTCACTTCCTTTTACTCTGTTCATGATATCCAGGATAATACCAGAATAAAACCTCTCCAGAAGACAGCTGGGAAATGATAGGTAGTATAGGATTATCTGGGAGAAGCTAGGTGAAAGTGCTTTATCCATCATAATTATCTGGTCAGGGTAAAGTATAGGAAATACAAAGGAAGACTGATTCAGCAATAGACTGCTGAGAAAAGAGGCAGGTGGGCCTGGGGTCAGACTTCACAACTGTACAAGTGAGAAGTAATAAAGATCTGAGATTTGGGCAGATTAGTGGAAACCACAAGAGTGAGGTTTGGAATAAAGTCTTTAGGAAGTATTATTATGATGGGGACTAGCAGAAGAAGAAACTTGGAGCAATCTTAGCTATTGAAGGTGTGAGGACTGGAAATTGTGAATTAAATCTTAAATTGAGGATAAGAAAACTGGTTGCAGTCTTCAAAAATGTCTTAGAGATAATTGAGTGGGGGTAGTGGTAAGTAGAGGCAGTAAGTGAAACTACCACTTTCAGGAAATACAAAAGTCACATTGGTCTGGACCATTGCTATGGAAACATGATTCACAGCTTGGTTGAGATTGTGCAAGTTATGACCTTTCTACACTACAGTTGCATTTATTAAAAATGCAAATTACATATTGTGTATATGCACATGAATATAAAGGGATATCCAATAATTGCATTTGAAGGGGTGATTTTCCATCTGATTTAGTTCTCCAGTCTGCCTCCTGCAATTGCAAGTTTACTGAATTAAGATATTAAATCAGAAATATGTGAAAATATAGAAAAAAATCTGTAGCACTTACTGATCATGTATTACTATTACTTCATTTTTTTTCTTACATGCTTTTTATTCTCTTGTTTTTTGGTACAGGTCTGTGTTTTCTGGTTACACCACTCTTTTAGTATGCCATTCAACTTGTGCACAATTTTTTAATTGGGTTTAGAATTTTTATTCATTGTAATTTTCATATTATTGCTTTTTACCTGTTATTTTTAGTCCTTTATATATTGTATAGATAATCCAAAGATGTTGGTTTAAAAGTCTCTTCTCAGAATGACTCTTTGAGTATGAATTTTCATTTTTGTAGAGACAGATTCTCTCACAGAGCAAGTGGATCTGGACAAGTTTTTATGTGACCTTCTTGATTTTAGGGATCTTATCTTCTGTGATAATTTGGATCTCACACCTGGATGTCTTGCAGGCTCTAGGTTTCTGCTTGTCTTGGGTTCTCTCTCTCCTGTGCTCCTGTCCTCCTCCCTGAGTTGGAATTCATTTCTCTGGATACTTGGGTCGGGCTACATTTGTTGTACCTGTCATGGACAAACAGCTCTCAACTCCTTTGTGCAGTCTGGTTGTGTTTCTAAGTATAGTTGTATTTTAATCTTTTAAAGATTATCTTGCAAGGGGGAGGATATCTTGTTTAGTACTTCTATGTGAGTAGAGCAGAAGGACAAGACTTTTGTCCTTTGACCATGATGTTCTGACCAGAAGTCTGAGCATATTCATGTTTCAACATGTTTTCTTTTTGTTTTTCTTTTACAGCTAGTTATGTATCAAATCCCATTTGCAAGGGGTGTTTGTCTTGTTCAAAGGACAATGGGTGCAGCCGATGTCAACAGAAGTTATTCTTCTTCCTTCGAAGAGAAGGGATGCGCCAATATGGAGAGTGCCTGCATTCCTGCCCATCAGGGTACTACGGACACCGAGCCCCAGATATGAACAGATGTGCAAGTGAGCATTTGACTTTTGAACATTCTATTTAACTTGATACATGCAGCTTAGAGGATGAGCTCAATTGGAAACTTTGACTTAAAAATGTACGTTTGTAATAGGCTAGAAAAATAGTCTTTTAAGCCCAACTTTGAAAAAATTAGTGGGTGTGTGGTATAAGAAAACTTTTACTTTATATTTTGTATAGAAGTCTATTACAGGGCCACATGCTTTTTCTTTATTTAGTTTAACTGAGTATTTTTTATTATGAAGTTCTCGGACACATGCTGGTTAATCTTAGTGAGGAGTACATACTCATTGCTTATAAACGAAACAAAAAAACAAAATATACCACTCATCCCCCCACACCCCACAAAGGAATTTACATATTTTATACTGAGAACATTCTCTTTGGTTGAGTTTCCACAGTTCTTTTTATCCTTTTATCTGAGTTTATAACACCTGCATTAGTCTTATCAGCAACTAAATATAAGCATTTTGGGTTTCTGTGAAACACCATTAATGATAAAACATTTAGTGTAGTTTAAAATATTTTGAGTTCTAAGTTGAACCAATATAAAAATGGTTGCTAATTACATAAGAATAAGGACACAGCTGTTCATATTTTAATCTAAAACTCACTTCTCGAATGATCTTCTAGATCAACAGCCAAAATTGGAATTTTAAATAAAATACTAAAGGAACAACCCTTTCTCAGATTTTGGGGGGGGAGGGAAGAGATGGGGGAAAAAGAGACTAGGGGTTGAAATAACAAATGAGTAAGTGTTAAATTATAATTTACTCCATTAAGTGCTATGAAATTTTTTTCCTATCTCTCTCCTATCAACACCATGTGGTGGCCTTATCCAAGCACAATTATTTTGGAAAGAGGCAGAATTAGAGGGGGATGATTAAGTAAATCTTAAAAAAGGAACTACATACATTCAAAAATAATGTGTTTGGGGATCAAGTTTTATCTGCCATGCTATTTGGCATGTTGGCACAGCAGTTCTGTGTCATAGGACTGGTCTTACATCAATGAACATATAGTGTTCTTTGTTGCTGCCTATTAAATATCCTTTGTGTCTCAAATCACAGTGACAAGCAAAAATGTCTGAAACATTTCCAAATGCCCTGGAGTAGGAGAGCAGTACTATCCTGGGATAAGAACACTGTACAGCATGCGCTTAGCACAGGTGTAGTTAGGACTGGGGAGGAAATGGAGACTTGAGTACAGCTGATAAAGGCTTTGCGTGCCAGCCTCCGGGACTCTGGACCTTACGCTGGGCACTGAGCTGGCGGTAGAATGGAGATGGCTTTATTTGAGATAACTGTAGGGGAAGTGAGGAAGATGAACTGGAGAAAGACAAAAAGTAGAGGAAGGCTATGGTAGCAATCAGATTAGAAATCTTGTTGTGAAAAGTTTGTAGATGATAAGTTCTAGGGAAAATATAATCAGTGGGATTTACCAATCCCATGCCTGGTGGGAAGAGCGAGAGTCAAATTTTATCCTAAGGTGTCTACCTAAGTTGACTGAGTGAATAGTAGCAGAAATATTTAGGCTTACAGAGAATTTAGATTTATCCTCATTCATGGAATTATTTGGATTGTTGGAAGGACACTAATCCCAGGAAGCATCAATAGATTGTCCAATTTTTGCAAATATGTATTTTGTCCTTAAGGCATATGATTAGGACCATTGATCATGGGGGCACCTTGAAATAGTTTTTTTGTTTATATTGCTTTAGACCACTTATGGAGGGATTGAGTCCATGAATGTTCTGTGCAGTTTTCACTCCAGGCCATCAGTGCACAAGGAGGAAGAGGCAAGGCTGTAGATGGGTTGAGGTGTTTATCCTGGATTCTGGAACTCATATGTACTAGGTGTGGGCAATTCATGGGCCATACAATGTCTTACTCAGCTGGGGTCATTGGAGAATGAAAGGAGCTGTGGTTACTGACTTTATAGGGGCATACAGCATAAAGCAGGACTGTCCTGGGCAAGCTGGTGTGAATGTTACCTCAGCAACACTTCTTGTACATCATCAGAGTCTCTCTTAGAGAAATAATCTAGTGGGTTAATATGTACATATTGACTAAGTTGATCCCTTTTCTCAGAAATGGAAAAGAGAGTCGTGTCTATAAATCAGCTTTGGAAAGAGTCTACATGTGAGAGTGGGCTTGCTATGGTTAAACTTAATGCACGTGAATGCAATCAGGGCTAGAGTTTACTGACCTAGAGGAAGTCATTACCTATCTGGCACAACCAGAAAGCACTTATTAGCAAGACTCTTGTGAAGCAAAGTGAAAATGGAAAGTTATTTCTTAATTCTCAGTGTATGACTCTAAACAGTAAAGAAACACCATAGTCATTCAATTTTTTTCATATTTTACATATTTTGCAGATATTTGTATCCTATTTAGAGGACAAAAAAGATTTAAATTAGAAAAAATGGTCATACGCTTAGAATTTGAATTCTTACTTTTTGTTTTCTCAAAGAAAAAAATAGTTATTGCTCAACAGTAGAAGAGAAATGATACTGTAAGCAACAGTAGCTTAGAAAATTCTACAAAGAAACTTGCTCATCTGTTTCCTAATCAGTACATTAAGATTCCTACCATAAAATATTTGTCTTTTGGGACTGAGGATATAGCTCAGTTGGTAGAGTGCTTGCCTTGCATGTATGTACAAGGCCCTGGGTTCTATCCCCAGCACCACACACAAAAAAAGTATCTTTTTTTCTGAAGGAACACCTGCTCTATGAACTTCTGGTTGAGATTGGCTTCTTCGTACGTATAGTATGAAGCTTATAAAATTCAAACCTATTAAAAAAAACAATCCAGCATCCACTGAGGCATGCTGTGACATACTAATAGACACTATTGTTGTCCCTATTACTATGTTAGGTGATTTCTCATATTTTCTCTTCATTTGTTGGTGAACTCATTGACATAAAAAGTCTTATTTTTTGAATTGTTAAACAGGTAACTTGTATAAAATTTGGTGTATAAACCTTTATAAAAAGCAAACACAAAAATGAAGTACTCTTCAAAAATAACAAATTTAACATTTTGGTTTCGTCCTTGTCCTTTTGTTTCTATGTGTGTTTATGTCCCCTCCCCCTAAATGTCATTGTGTTGTGTAATAGTTTAAGGTCTATTGAAGTGATTCTCAAATGGAGCTGACTTAGTAATTTTTAGCTGCATTTAGTAATATTTGGGAACGTTTATTAATGTTTGGAGACATTTTCACTTATATTAAAACTGGAGGGATGCTACTGGTGTGTAGTGGGTAGAGGCCACAGATGCTTCTAGACATTTATAGTGCACAGCACAGCCCCTTGAAACAAACCTAAAATGTTTATAGTATCAAAGGTGAGAAACTTTGGTCTAGTGGAAAAGATTGATAATCCATTTGACATAAGCATGTCATAAAATGCTGCTAATTATTTAGCTTCTGTTCAGTGCCAACATCTCTGTTAGATGTACTTTTTCTCACATTTTTTTTAAACAAATGTGCAAAACAGGTTGTGCATTTCTATTTCTGGATGAAATTACCTAAACTGGGTAAAAATACACTTTCTAACGGTGGGGGTAGATTGTGGCAGTGAAGGGGATGGCATGAATGGTATGTGGGTGTTTACAGCATTATTAGGATGAAATCTTATCAGTAGAAGAAAAAAGTGTGAATGCATGGAGAAGTAGAACACCATCTGTTGCTAAATAGAAAGCAAGTGGTTGAGTACAACTTCACTGTTTTGCCCCAGATGATACTCAGTCAGTTGGGTGGAGGCTAGAGCATAACAGGTGTTATGTGATAAATTTAAGCAATTGGAACACCTTCCTGAAAGCCGCAAGTAGTCAATGAAGGATTTTAAGTAAGGTAATGGCAAAGTTACAGTCTTCAGAGGCATTTTAGTTGGGCAGTATCAAGGAGGTGTTAAAGGAGAGCCAATCACATAAGCAGTAAGATAGGTTGAAAAAGTAAAACAAAAACAAAACAACAACAACAACAAAAACCAGCTGTCTCCTCAGAGCTACCTGGCTAATTCACCTGAAACTGTAATCTTCCCTATTCCAATATTTCCTTTCTTCCTTTCCCTATTTGCCCATTCTTCCTGTTCCCTTTTCACCTTCACTTACTCTTCTCTCCTTGCTTTTTAGTCTTGTCAATTGATGAATATGTTATGTGTTTGACTTGATTATATATTGCATAACTCTCCCCTTAGGCTTTAGTCTTTTTTATCTTTAATCGGGTTCTTCTTGGGCAGGTTAATGTCTGGCATGTAGAAGATGCTCCATGAACACACATTGAATGAATACCTAGAGTGGGAGATACACATGAGGGACTGGATGGAGAGATTGAGGAAGTATTGATAGGACTTGATCAACTGGAGGATGATGAATAAAGTAAAGGGGGATGTTAAGATGACTCCTGGTTTGGGAGTGACACAGTGGGATTTATCAAGGCACAGATTTTATCAAGAAGGAAGAGTGGACTTCTGGAGAGGATGGTGGAGAATATTTGATTTGGGACCTATTGAGTTGAGCTAAGAAGCCCTCCTGGTGACACTCTCCAAAGGACAGTTAGATGTAAGAATCTGGAGCCTTCAGAGGGGATCTGAACCAAGTCATTGGTACAGTGAACAGAAAATCGACTGGAGTGGGGAAGATTCTGAGGATTAAACCCCAAGAATGCTGACATTGAACTTTCTTGCGGAAGATAGTTTTTTTTTTTTAATATACTATTTGTAAACAAGAAATCACAGAAGTATATTTCATATTCTGGATTCAGAATACTTTTAACTATTTCTGGAATATTTTATGATTCTGCCCTTATGAATGTGTTTAGCTAGGATACTGCAAAATTCTTTTTTTTTTTTGAAATGAAATGACAGATTTAAAAATGAGTAATTTTGAACATATAAGCAAACCCATAGTTAATATAACCATCCTTTAATTTTTGAACTCTGAACCAGCATTCAGGTGCTTTTAGAGAATTATTACGTGTCATTTTAAGT